CCTTAGTACTTGTTTTCACTAACCAAAAGAAATCCCCATTGCATTTTTGCTTTACAAAAAAAATAAAAAAGTGAAAATAGTGTTCAGGGCTGATTTTGCAACGAGCATTTATGGAGGCAGTGGGCATCCTTAGCAGCAGGAGGAGCAGTGCCAAGTTCCTTCCCAGGAACTACACTCAGCATCTCAGCCTCAAGCCACCAGAGGTTTCTTTCAAATGTGTCTGTGAGCATCTATGCTTTATCACACTTTATTTTGTATGTCCTATGGTATCAGGAAATCCAAAGAGGGCCCATAAGGGTGTCATGCATAGTGTAAAAGTGGACATGATTAAGTGTATTTAGTATATATAGTAGATTATTTTTTAGGTATGAGAATGCTCAAACATTTTTTCAATATACATTAGTGGCAATTGCTTCTTCACTTTATACCATTTTGGCTTACCAAAGTTTTCATGGGAACACTCTACTTTCTGATGGGGGGAAGTAGGAGACACCTATATTTCATAGCCTCCTTTCTTTCCCATGGCCTGGTTTCTCAAGGACTGCACAGAGGTGGAGTGAGTGACCCTTTCGTTGCCAGTGAAAATTAGGCCTAGGATCATGAAGAAGGCATTCTAAGGACACACACACACGTGAGATTGTGGTGTAGCATGGTTTACTTATGTGGAAATAGAATATGCCCCCTGGGTTTCCAATGTCCTATCACCCTCTGTCCTGCCATGGGAAGAATCCAGCCACATCCTCAGTGAGGCCAAGACAAAAGCCAGTTTTCGTGTTACTGGTGCCGCAGCAAATTGAAGAGGCAGGAGATTGAATGCGATGAGCAGTAGGGGACTTAGCGGACGTGACTGACTAAGCCCAGAGCGGAGGGAAAGCATCTTACTTATTATCAGGCTTAAACAACACAAAGAATGCAAGCTGATTTGAGAACCACCTGACCTGATATTTATCAAGACTGCAGGGACGTACATTCCTTACATTAATCTAGTTACTAAAGCCAGCTCTTAACCCTCAAGGAAGTGCCATACAGAGATAACACTCATTGTCTCTTGGTGGCGTTCCACCTCCCTCGCCGGCCAGTGTGCTGGTCCAGTGAGGATTTGCAGACAATGAGCTCCTCTGTGCAGGCAACTCCCCTGGCCAGATGCATCCGTCTTCCACAGCCAGTGTCCAGAGTTCTTGCTTCATATTAAAGCTTAGTCCTTTTGTAACAGAGCCACTGGGTTCTATTGCCCACCACCAAGAAAACTCCCATGACTCCCAAAGCCAGAGTCTTATGAAAAGGAAAGAAACTATTTATTTAAAAGTTATACAGGTTCAGAATAATGACAGAATTCTGTTTTTAAGTCCCAAAGTCCTTTAAAACCAAACACCCATAAACAAACACAGTCCTGCCTCCCCTTGCCAAACCAGCCCAGTCAGAGGTATCACCTCTCAGGAAAAGAAAGAAAAGTCTGTAGCTTAGTTAGGCAGATTCCCGTTTTAACATCCTGGCTTCTCCCAGTCATCTGTGCTCAACTAGACTCCCACTCTTAATCCAAAACCGCACAGCCCTTCTTATGGTAGGCTGGTGGGGGTCCTTCTGCATCTTTTCAAATCACGTGGCCCAGACAGCATGGCTGCCCTGCTGCTAGTCTGGGCAGGCGTGGCCATGTGATGTGGAGTGGATGGCGTGGACCATTTCCAAGCTCTCACGAAAGGACTGTAGCTGGGGGACCGCCTTGGCTGCATCACAGGTGAGAGTCATGCCCATCTCCCTGGCTCCAAACAGGTACAGCTGTTCGCATTACTAAAACACTGGCCTATTTCTTTAGATATGCAAAGTAACTCTCAATGGCCCTGCTCTGCGTCCCCTTCCCCCAGCCATGCTAGTGCAGGTTTTGGGGATTCTCAGCCTGTACCCCATTTTGGACCTAAGCTAGCAGGCTTATGCTTCCCAAGTCCATTAGGCTCAACAATGTCCAATTCCCTTTATTTTCTCCCTATTAGTATCTAGCTAACTTCTAACACTAACAATTCCTTAAATTTTTTTCCTTAAAGCCACTATTTTGCACATATTTACTCTTCTTTTTTGTTTGTTTTCTCTATTCAGAGGTGCTTTGCCCAGGATTTGAATTGGTGTCAGTTGGTCATTGTTCAGATATTTTCAGTACCACCTATGAAGTAGCATTTTTTCCTCAAAGAATCAGGTCTTTAGATTTAAATTTTACTTCATAGGAAACACAAAATATAAATTACTTAATAACAAAAAACGAACAGTGGGAGAAATCCAAAATGTGGGATATTATGACAACTGATCTGATTCTTCAATAGGTCAAAGGTCAGAAAAAAGGAATGAAGGAATAGTATTTGAGAATAAATGGCACCCGAGTGGATAAATAAAATGAATAGTCTCTGTACATTGATTTGAACAAACCAGTTACGAGAGATTTTTATTTACTGATTTGAGAGAGAGAGGAAGTTGGGGGGGAGACTGTTGTTCCACTTATTTATGCATTTATTGGTTGCTTGTTGTATGTGTACTGACTGGTGATCAGACTCAACTTTTGTGCATTGGGACAACACACCAATTGAGCTAACTGGCCAGGGCCAGTATTGGGAAATATTAAGGAATTATTAGTAATTATTTTATTTGGTGTGATAAAGGTATTGTGGTTTTGAAAGAAAAAATGGTTTTTTATCCTTAAGATTTTATCGTCACATAATAAAATGAAATATGAAGCTTAGAACTAGATTACTGGGCCCTTTCTCCTATCTTCTGCCAGTTCAAAATGCTTGCATGTCTTGGTCTGTCCAGAGTGGCTCAGTGGGTAGTAACACCGTCCTGTGCTACTACCAAAGGGTTGTAGGTCTGATTCCTGGTCAGGGCACATACCTAGGTTGCAGTCTGATTTCCGGTCCAGGTGCATATGATCCCCAATCCAGACATGTAGAGGATTCTCTTTCTCTTCTCCCATTTCCTGTCTTCTCTTTCTAAAAACAATGAGAAAAAATTCCTCTAGTGAGATTTAAAAAAAAATTCTTACCTCTTAATAGCCAGCATTCTATTAGATCTATGCATAGGCGCAACACCTTCTAGCTTCAGCACAATCTTCTTTGTAGTTTTAGCCTTTTTGCAGAAAATTGGCTTAGTCTGCCCACGAGAGCTACTCCGAGAGGAAATTTTTTTTTGAAAATTTTCTTTATTATTTATTTTTAGAAAGAGGGGAAGGCAGGGAGAAAAAGATGCAGAGAAACATCCATCTGTAGCCTCTCGCATGCCCCAACTGGGGACTGGGCTGGCAACTCAGACATGTGCCCTGACAAGGATGACACCCAATCAACTGAGCCACACCGGTCAGGGCTATATTTATTTTTATTTAAAAATTATTTAACAAAGTATTTGGGGTGAAAAGATATGTCAGATTTGTTTTAAAATTATACTGTAAGTAAAGAAAATAATGACACATAAATGGTAAAAATAGTGTATATGGGGTCCATTTTAATATTATTGCTACTTTTGTATTTTTTTGAACTTTTATAATAGACCTCCAAGTCCTCCTTGCTCAGCTCCAGCCTTGGGGCCCTCTCGCCTGTCGGCAAGGCTACAGTCCCTGAAACCAGGCGGGACTGTTCCCAACACTTGCCTACCCCTCTCTCTAAAAATAAATAAATTTAAAAATTAAAGAAAAAATGAAGTTCAAGATATTTCTTTATTATAGACTAATCAATATTTGTATTGCCATTTTAGAAATTCTTAGCATATTGGAGTGAAAAATTTTCACAAAACAATGTCAAGAAATCTTAGGTGCCTTGTGGTTTAAAAGAAGCAAAGGAATTCTATTTCTTCCCCTCTCCTTTCCTTCTCTTCTGACTTGTACAGCTTGGACATGGAAGACTGAGAATTCCTACATACTTTCTTACCCTCGCAGGATTTTTTTGTCCATATCAACATAAATATTCAGTTGTCATTGGTATGTCTTGACTATTTCAGGCGATTCCTGCCCAAGCAAAGAGCTAGATTGTTTATTACAGGAATTTCCACAAACGCCCATCAACTCTTCCAAAGAAAGTATCAACAGTTTGCACCTAAAAATTCCTTGCATAGCCCTGACTGGTGTGGCTCAGTGGGCTGGGCATCCTCCTGCAAAGCAAAAGTTTGCAGGTTCAGTTCCCTGTTAGGGCACAGTCCTGGGTTTTGGCCCAGATCCCCTTTGGGGATGTTAGGCAACCCATCCATGTTTCTCTTAAAAAAAGAAAATTCCTTGCCTACAAAAATCCTTATTGTTCCCACTAATCCTGGACAAAGCACCATGGCCTTTACACAATTCTAATCAAGTCCCTCGCGTTGAAAGACTCGCCTTAAACCAAACTTACAATTCTCAATAAATTGCAACCTTGCCTTCCTGGCTCTGACACTTTGCTGTCAAGGTGTCGAAGCTCTGTGGAGGTGCGGTTCTCCCTTACCGCAGTAAGAAACTCCGTTTTTATCTTATCGACAGGTATATTAGTGATATTTGGGGAGCCGGCATTTGACACAAGTTTGAGATCCAGTGTTCCTTTAGTTCTGTTTGCGCAGTTCAGGCTAAGTCACTTAACGCCTACGTTTCCAGTATTTAGCCCACCCTTTGCTTTCCATAAGACATTTGGTTTTAACATTATTTTCATAGTTTTGGCTTCGCTTTTCTCCCTTATACGGCTATATTTTTAAAAATCCGTAATTATTTTCTCATAAGCTTTAAGAAACGAATAAAGCAAAAAGGAATCTGACAGAGCCCCAGGCAAGTGACTCAACCCGAATCCTCCACCAAAACACTAGGCGGCAGGTGGGAAGCCAGCCCTGTGAAGTGCATTCTGGGAAATGGTGTGCAGGAGTGCGTGAACCAAGAGGCGCTCCCCTTGGGTATTCTGGGAAGTGTAGTCCAGGAACCGTGTGTAGCCCGAGGCACTTCCGCTCCCGGAAGGCGAGGTCGGAGTTGACATCGCGCGCAGTGAGGTGAGTTAACCTCGCGTCCTGGCGAGCTCTGTGAACCCTGTTTCCCTCGGCGTGGAGCGAGCGGTAACTAGGTCCTCCCTCCTGAGCAGGGGAAGCCGCGGCCGGCGGCCCTCGGCAGAGGGCAGATATGGAGACGGCGGCGGTGAGCATTCGCTCGGCGGAGCCTTCCGAGTCGGGGGCGGGCTTGCGTGGGACGTGGAGTTTGAGGGTCTCCTGCGCTCGCCGCTCCCCCAGCCTCCCTGCAGGACCCACTAGCCAGCTTTGCCTCTTTCTCGCTGTAAAATATCGGGCGAGTTCCTTGATCTCTCCTCGCCTCAGTTTCCTCATGGCAAAAAATGTGTAGTTCTTCCTAATGGTGTTCTTGTGGGAATTAAGTGAGGTTGTATAAAGAAACTTAAAAATAGTGCCTAGTGCGTTGTAAAGTGTTGGCTATTCACCATAAATTCCATTGTAATACTGAGAGAGGCGCCCTGCGGTTACTTGGAAGCTCGTGCCAGCCCGGGATGGGGCCGGAGCTCATTGATCGCTGCCCGATGTGGGGCTGCTTCTGCACCTGGACTAAGTGAACGTCAGTCGGATTCTGGAAAGTCCTCTGTGGCTTTTCCCGGACCCAGGAACAGTCGTGATCTCGGCTTGCAGAGTGCCTGCCTGCACACAAAGTGAGGCCTTAAGAAGTGTGCAGTATTGCGTAATAAGCCAGTGTTGTTGATTTAAATGCAACGGGATATCTTAGGCTTAGGTTTTTATTAGTCATTATTTACCTTTTTGTATATCGGAGAAGAACTTTGTTGAGACTCTTCCAACTTAATAACATTTGCAAGGGATTGCACCTATTAGGAGAAAAAAAAAAAAACATCTGTGGCAATTTAACTATTATTACCAACAGAGAAAATTGTCTGTGAGATAACCAGTTGGAATTAGATTTTTCTAAGGATAACAATAACTCACGGGACAGAACAATCATCTCTGAATTCTGGGTTTCTTAAAAGAGTGATTTTTTTCTGGAAATCACATTTGCAAGGGCAGTTTTACGAATCCTAGACTACTGCTTGCCTTTAGCTGCAGGAGGTAGGGAATACTTGTATTATCATCATCCCCATTTACAGGTGATTGGAATGAGGCACAGAGAGATGAATGACTTGCTCAAGGTTTACACTCCTGATGAGTACAAAGTAATAAGTAGAAGTGCCAGAATTTGAACCCAGGCGTTTTGGGCCCATTGAGTTTATACTGCCTGCCTGCTTTCCTCTCAGTTCCTATAATACCCAACCTCAGGAATACTCTGGGAGCTATAAGAGGCACTCAGGTTAGGGCTGTTTTAAGGAATGTTCATGAACAGCAGCAGCTGGCTGGGGGCAAAGGGGAAGCTGGAGTCCCATCCCTGTTTTCACTAAGCTTTGTTGCCGTTGCTTCCGCCCAGAGAAAGGAACACCTTTTTGTGCTCCCATGAAGTGCCAAGTGGACTGGCAGCATCCCTAGCATCTCTCTCATGATGGCTTTCCCTTCCCAGCTCTGTATCCAGAACTCTGCCTTTCCCAGAAATAAAGAGGAAAAAAATGACCAAGTTCCAGGTAGGTTGGGTCTTTCTGTTTCTTAAAATGACATCTCATTTCACAAAGTTTGTATGCGTATTTCTCCTGGTTGGGAAGGATAAAAGGGAACCAAAGGCACTTGACAAATTGTTGCATGCCAGGCTCTTGCTTTCTCCTTATTTCCAAAAAATAGTATAAAAGTTAATAGGTTGTTTTTTTGTTTTTGTTTTTTGTGTTTTTTTTTTTTAAAAAATAAAAGGAGCCCTGGCTGGTATCGTTCAGTGGATTAAGTGCTGGCCTGCAAACCAAAAGGTCATGGGTTCAATTGCCAGTCAGGACACATGCCTGAGTTGCAGGCCAGGTCCCCAGTAGGGGACACGCAAGAGGCAATCACATATTGATGTTTCTCTCCCTTTCTCCCTCCCTTCCCCTCTCTCTAAATATAAATAAATAAAATCTTTGGGGGGGGGGGGAATGGAGACAACTGTAATTGAACAATAAAAAAATAAAAATAAAAAAGAACTCCCACTTTATAAACATGTTTACAAATTTGCTGTGTACTTTTCCACATTCCTTTTCATTTGCATTTACACGTATATATTTGTAATCACAGCTTAACCATTTTGGATTTTTAAAGTTTAATATCTATGACTTAAATGGCCACATTATTTTCCATAGTATACCTAATATTCTTCCCCCTTTTATGAATTTTACCATTTTAAAGATGTTTGCAATGACAGTTTTTCTACATAACCTTTCTTCCCAAATAGGAATTCTGAGAATTCTACCATCTTTTTCTTTCCTTAAAGTTCTAGGGACTTAGTTTTCTGCTGCATGGAGCCTCATATTTTGTGGAAGGAATCTGTAAAGTATGGCTTGTTGTTATGGAGTCCAGCTGATAACTGAACTCAGAGAAAAAAAAAATTTAGTTGTTTCCAAACAAGAAGAGCTAGATTCTGTCTTTAATTCTAAGTTAAACTATGTATGTATTACAGTTAAGCATCTGGGGTTTTTTGTTTGCTTTATTAATTAATTAATTTATTTTTAGAGAGAGGAGAAGAGAGAAAGGGAGAGAAACATCAACGTGTGGTCGCCTCTCAGGCTCCCCCTACTGGGGGCCTGGCCCACAACCCAGGCATGTAGCCTGACTGGGAATTGAACCTGCGACTTGGTTTGTAGGCCGGCGCTCAGTCCACTTAGCCACACCAGCCAGAGCTATGTATCTGTTTTATTCGTTGACATGTTATTGTATTTTAAAGACATACATCCTTGGTCTAGGAGCACCAGGGACTTGCCTTGCCTTTATCCCATGGAACAGCTGTAGGAAGATATAGATGGTCCTGTTCGCATTTTAACATAAACAGATTTGTGAACTTTCAGATACCTACTGAAGTCCACTCAGTCCCCCGCTGACACTTGCTAACCCAAAAATAAAAGACCAAAGTTGAGTGTCAACAGACTTTCATTTGATCCAAAAGAAGTACCTATTAGGGAAGCAGAGATTCAGGGAGAAACCCAAATATTCCTGTTAGGAGACAATGAGAAGGAGGGTATTTGTGAGAAAGGAAGGGGAATAATTACGTCAATAGAAAGGAGGCATTTCTGTGGGTGTTATTAAGCTAAGGATGTAATCTCTATAGGTGCAGGTAAGCTAACACAGTGATTAAAGAATGTCATTAATTTTCAGTCATAATGTCTGCATTCCTGTTAGCCTTGCAAACAATAGTTGGGCTCCCATGCTGCATTAGGCCTGGTCCAAAGGTTATTTTGCCCAGTTATAGTCCAAACGTTTGAGGAGTAAAACTTGCAAGGCAGTCCTTTGGGATGAGAGCTCTGATTTTATTTGAAGTGGATCTATTTATATTATTTTTTTACACACTAATGGTTCAATTACCTGAGCCAGGAGTTTTGTGTATCCAGTTATGGTAAATGGAGAGACCCAGAAGAAATGATACTACAGCCCCGAGGGGCGGAGTCCATGCAATGTGTTTACCTGGCTTGTCTGGTGGATGATGGACTCCCAAAATAACGTTGTCCCTTCTCTGTAGTCTTTTTAGCACCCAACTCTTTGCCACATGTGTCAGCCAGTTCTTCAGTACACAGATGCTCAGAACTTCAGCCAAATGAAAGGCAGAAATGAGCAAAGTCCTTTTTTTTTCTTTAAAGATTATATTTATTCACTTTTAGAGAGACGGAAAGGAAGAGAGAAAGAGAGGAGAGAGAAACATCTATTGGTTGCGTCTCACATGCACCCTGACCTGGGAGTAAACTCACAACCCAGCAATGTCCCCTGACCTGGAACCAAACCAGTGACCCTTTGCCCTGCGGAATGATGCACAACCAACTGAGCCACACTGGTTAGGACAAGATGAGCAGTCTTTAGATAAATAATTTTAATTTCCATAAGGAAAAATGCCATACACATTTTTTCCTATTTATCTCATAACTTTGTTATTATAAATGTTATTAAGCCAACTTTGTTATGAGACAAACAGGAAACAGGAGTGGGCGGTGAGGCTGGGAATTTATACACGCAAGAAGAGGCTTAATATTCTCAGGAGGAATCTTACTGATGCATGAGGTTATGAGCAAGTGAAATGAACAGGCAATATGTGGAAAAAAATCCAAAGATGTTAATAAATGGAAAATTTTAAAAAGTTATTTTTGTCACTTACCAAACTTTTTAAATCCAAGATTAAAAAAAATAACATAATGTTGAGTATGGAGAATCAGGGATACTTCTAATTGCTTAAAAGAAAAGTTAATTGGGAAAATCACCATTATACGAATAAAACAACGGTGCGTATCTTTTAGCAGCACAACTGCCACTTCTTGGAACTTAGCCTAAGAAAAAACCAGACAAGTTGGCTGAGATATATGTAAAAAGTTTGTGGGGTTTTTGCAGCATTATTAACAATTAAAAAATTTTAAATTATTGCATTATTTATTTGGTATCGTTCATCATTTTTATGAAACACCTTGCAGCCATGAATAATGAGTACTAATAGTGATGACTGGCATATTGAGTTTTTAATGTGTGTCATACTGTCCTCAGTCCTGCAAATAGTCTCATTTAATCCCTTCAAGTACCCTATGATGTACTGTACATTTGCAGAAATTGAGGTATTGAGAAGTTAGGTGACTTGTTCAAGAAAGCTCGTAACGGACAGAACCTTAGCGTGCGAACAGAGGCAGTCAGTCTCCAGAGCCTGTGCTGTAACCTCGACACTGAAAGCTCCTGCATTTGACAAATACAGCATGTTCCTGAGAACAGAGAATGAATTACATACCTGCTCCAGAGGGGTACTGAAGACAAAGAATGTTAGATTGGCAAACATTGACGAAATAGTGGTACTACCCAGGGAAAGGAGGAGATAGGCACCGTTCAATATTGTTGAATCTAAATTAACTCAGTTTCTTACGTTATCTGACACTGTCAGCCTAATTGTAAAACGTGTATGCCATGATTTGACAATGACTGTTCTAGAAGCTTTATTTAACTACATAAAGGGTGCCGTGTTAAATGTACACAGATTTTTTTTTTAATGTTTCTCTTGGTTCCTTCCTCTTCCTCTTCCCCTTTTTGGCGTGATTGCAAAAGGGGAAGAGGAGAAACTCACCTAAAAGTAGTGGTTCAGGTCCATTAGAGTCTGGGACAGCTTCCCACCTATTTCTTCCACCCTCTCTGTTGGGAACCATCCTGCCTGATTTCAGGGACTGCAGCCTGCTGACAGGTGAGAGGGCCCCAAGGCTGTAGCTGAGCAAGAAGGCCTTGGGAAAATAGGCCACTGAGGAGACAAAACCTGTCTCTCTGGCAGGGGCGCAGCACCTGCCTCTCTCACATCACCCTGCTTGGCCCTGGAGGATGGCTGCTTAGTCAATGACAAGTAAGATCCTTCAATGGCAGGGGTAACCTAAGATAGGCACAGTTGCATAGGGGCCATAGGGAAGGACTTGGGGGACATGGAGAAGGGACAGAAGACCCTCACCCCTCAGCTTTGTCATGGCCAGAGTCCTCATTCTATCTGAAAGAAGTCTCCTCATCTCTTTGCTGCTCTGCTCCCCGCACCTGGCTCAGGCTTGAAATACTGCTAGAGGCAGATACAGCTCTAAACTGGATCAGGCAGTTCCCAAGGACAGTTAGGCCTGGAATAGGAATGCATTAAATCCTATGAAACCTTCTTTGCTAAGAGTGCCCTTGAGTTAACGAGTACTGTGTTTGGGATCGAACATAGGATGACATTTTTTCCCCAGGTTTCAGGGCCGAATGGGTGTCACTCTGTTCACCTGACCCTGACTCAGAAAGACTCTTGTAATCCCTTTACTGTTATCCTTGAACCATGCCTCCTTCCTTTAATCATTACTGTTTAACATTAATTGATAAGCTTTACTATGTATCCCCATACAAGCTAAACTCAATAAAAGCCACTTAAAGAGAAGGGCTTGGGGCATTCTCCACTGGAGGGAATCACCACCCCCTCTCCTGACAGGCACATCATGTCTGGTACAGTTTATTTCTTCATCCGTGGTGACTGGAGAGACTCTGCGGGACAGAGCTCCCCCCTCACCTCTCAGTGATGCCCTCTGCCCAGTTGTGAGGTTGAGGTTGCCTGTGTTTGGTGTTGCAGGAGGCGGTGACATTCAAGGATGTGGCTGTGGTCTTCACGGAGGAGGAGCTGGGGCTGCTGGACTCCGTCCAGAGGAAGCTGTACCGAGATGTGACACTGGAGAACTTCCGGAACCTGGTTTCAGTGGGTGAGGACAGGCGTCCTCCATAACGTGGCTTCAGCCCCTTGCACGGGGTTTCTCCGTCTCGGCATTGTTGACATTTTGGGCCAGATATTTGTATGTTGTGGGGACCGTTCTGTGCGTTTTAGGATGTTTGGTAGCATCCCTGACCTCTGCCCAGTACTTCAAGGCTTCGGGACCCCTTAGAGACCAGAGTTTTCCAGTGTGTTTGCAAGTAGAGACAAGACGTTTCTAGTCTTTGTTCCAAGGTAAACATTTGACTTTTGTAAATTAACCATAAATGAACAGTTGGGCTTGGCTGTACCTGGCTCCTCATTGCATACACCTTTTTTAAACTTGTGGGTCATGATCCATTGTTGGGTCATGAAGTTAATTTAGTTAAGTTGCATCAAAATGTTTTACAAACACTGCTTTGGGGGAAGGGAAGAGCTTTACATCATGGGATTGGAACTGTAATTTTGTAGCACTTTTTATCTTTAATGTATCGCTTTAATCTTGTCTTTTCACAGGGCATCAGTCCTTTAAACCAGATGTGATATCCCAGTTGGAGAGAGAGGAAAAGCTTTGGATGACAGAGATCCAAACCCAAGGAGGTGGGCATTCCAGGGAGAGCTGTGCCGTGGGAGGCCTTGAAGGTAACAGCCCATCATTCGGTCTCTCCTCTGGGGAATCTGGCCTTGACACAGTGACTCCAGAGACGCTTGGGAAACAGCATCACATCATGTCACTCCTCTGCTTCACACCCTTTGCTGACTTTCCATTTTACTCAGAACAAAACCCGAAGTATTTAAGTGGCCTTGAAGACCCTATCGTGTTTGCTCTTCTCCAGGCTTTCCCATTCTGTGTCTTTCTCCTGTCGTTTCTCTCCTTTTGATGGTGCCAGCCTTACTTATCTCTAATGCAGAACGATTATGTTTCTGCATCGGGATCTTTTCTCTAGGCAGAATGCTGCTTTCCCATAAACCTTGAACCATGCTTTCTTATGCATTCATATCTCTGCTCAGAAGTCATTTTGTCCAAGTGCTTCTGTGAGCACTCTATTTAAAATACCGTCTTCTCACTCTCCACATGCTTTAAAAAAAATTTTTTTTAAGATTTTATTTATTTATTTTTAGAGAGGGGAAGGGAAGGAGAAAGAAAGGGAGAGAAACATCATTGTGTGGTTGCTTCTCGCACGTCCCGCACTGGAGACCTGGCCCACAACCCAGGCATGTGCCCTGACTGGGGATTGAACTGGCGACCATTTGGCTTACAGGCTGGTACGGAATCCTCTGACCCACACCAACCATGGCACTTTAAAAAAATTTTTTAAAAATTTTATTGATTTTAGACAGGAAGTTGGGGAGAGTGAGAGAGGGAGAGAGACAGACAGACAGACATCAATTTGTTATTCCACTCATTTATGCATTTATTGGTTGGTTCCTGTTTGTGCCCTGATCTGGGATAGAACCCACAACCTTGGTGGTCTTTCGCTTTGTGGAACAATGCCCAACCAAGTGAGCCACACCAGTCATGGTCAGACAAGGCTATTTTTAATTTTTGAGGAACACCCACACTGCTTTCTACAGTAGGAATACCACTTACATTCCCACCAGCAGTGAACAAGGTTCCAGTTTGCTGCATCCTCTCCAGAATGTGGGTTTCTTCCTTCCTTCCTTCCTTTCTTCTTCCCTTCCTTCCTTTCTTTCCTCTTCTTCTTCTTCTCTTCTTCTTTTTTTTAAATAATAGCCACCAGAACTCTGGCTGGGTTGCTCAGTTGATTAGAGCATTGTTTTAGTACACCAAGATCACAGGTTGGATCCCTGGTTAGGGCATATACAAGAATCAACCAATGAATGCATAAATAAATAGAAAAACAAATCACTGTTTTTGTCTCCCTCTCTAAAGTTGATTTAAAAAAATAGCCATCCTAATGAGTGTGAAGTGGTATCTTACTATTTTGTTTTGCATTTCTGTAATGATTAGAGATGTTGAACATCTTTTCATGTGCCTATTGGTCATTTGTATATATTCGGAGAAATGTCTGTTCAAGTCTTCTGCTCAGTGTTTAACTTTTATTTTTCAGTTACAGTTTACATCCAATATTATTTTGTATTAGTTTGAGGTGTATGGCCTAGTGATCAGTCATACATTTCACAAAGAATTCCCCTCATATCTTTTGCTCATATTTGAATCAGGGTGTTTGTTTTTGAATTTGCTTGTTGGTTGCAGTTTTTGTGTATGTATGTGTGCGCGCATAATCTTTAATATTTTCTACAAGTGAGATCACATCATCTATAAATGGATATAATTTCACTTTTCCTTTCCAATTGGAATAGATGTCTTCTTTTCTTTTCTTGCCTACTTTCTTTGGCTAGCACTTCTAGTACTGTGTTAAATAGAATTGACAATGGCAGGCATCCTTACCTTGTTCCTGGTGTTAGAGAGAAAGCTGTCACCACTGGGGATGATGTCGGGCTGTTCGCCTTTCGCATCGTTATTGTGTTGCAGTCTGTCAAGTGTTTTATCATACAAGGATATTAAATTTTATCAAATACTTCTATTGAACCAACTGAGATGACCATTTTCCCCATTCTTTTGTGGTCTCTATGACAATGTTGTTGGATTTTCATATTATGAAACATCTTTGCACTGCAGGAATAAATCCCACCTGGTCATCATATGTAATCCTCTTATTTTTCTGTTGAATTGTTTGCTAATAAGTTGCTAAGGATTTTTTTAACAGTAGTCATCAAGGATATTGGTCTGTAGTTTCCTTATAGTGGCTTTGTCTGGCTTTAGAATCAGGGTAATGCTGGCCTTACAGAATTACTTTGTAAATGTTCCTTTTGTGATATTTCTTTAAATATTTGGTAGAATCTTCCAGTGAAGCCATCTGGTCCTGGGCTTTTCTTTGTTGGGAGGTTTTTGATCACTGTTTCAACCTCTTTATTAGTTAGAGGTATGTTTAAATTTTTATTCATGATTCAGTCTTGGTAGTTTGGATACATCTAGGAATTTATCCATTTCATTTAGGTTGTTTAATTTTTAACATAGTTTTTTCATAATATTCTTTTATAATCCCTTTTATTTCTGTAGAATCAGTTGTAATTCCCCTCTTTTATGAATTTGGCAAAATTCATTAATGAAGCTATGTGTGTGCTAATGGCCCCCTGGATTTTTCATTGTTGAGAAGCTTTTATTTACTGATTCAATCTCCTCAGTAGTTATAGATCTGTTTGGATATTTTTTTTGTGATTCAGTCTTGGTAGGTATTGTGTTTCTGGGAATTAAGGCATTTCATCTAGCTTCTCCAATTTGTTGGTGTACAGATATTCATAGTATTTTCTTACAATCCTTTGTATTTTTGTAAGGTCAGTAGTAATGTTCCACCTTAATTTCTAATTCTAATTATTTTAGTTCAGTTTGTTTGTTTAAGTAGCTAAAGGTTTATCAAGTCTTATCTTTCTGAAGAACCAAGGCTTGTTTATGTTGATTTTTCTGTATTGTTTTTCTATTTTGTTTCATTTTCTCTGCTCTGATCTTTATTTCCTTCCTTCTTTTAGCTTTGAGTTTAGTTTCTTTTTTTCTAGGTTTTTTTTTAAATTGAATTTATCACGGTGACATTGGTTAATAAAATTTTACAGATTTCAGGTATACAATTCCATAATACGTCACCTTTATATTATATTGCATGTTCACCACCCTTTTTTTCTAGTTCTTTAAGGTGTAAAGTTAGGGTGTTAATTTGAGATCTTCTTTTCCAGTGTCAGCAGTTACAACCATAAAATTTCCTCTTAGCCCTGTATTCACTGCATTCATAAATTCTGATGTGTTGTATTTTTGTTTTTATTTGTCTCTAGATATTTTCTAATTTTCCTTGTGATTTCTTCTTTGATCCATTGTATGTTAATTTCCACATAGGTGAATTTTCCTTTTGTTACTAATTTCTAATTTATTCCATTATGATTGGAAAAGATGCTTTGTGTGATTTCAGTCTTTTAAAATTTATTAGCAATTGTTTGTGACTTAATACATGATCTTTCCTGTAGACTGTTCATGAGCACTTGAGAAAGTGTTTATTCTGCTATTGTTTGGTGGAGTGTTCTGTATGTCTGTTAGGTACAATTGTTCTATAATGTTCAAGTCCCCTGTATCCTTTAAAAAAATATTTATTTATTTTTAGAGAGGAGGAAGGGAGAAAGAGGGGGAGAGAAATATCGATATGCAAGAGACACATCCATCAGTTGCCTCTTGCCTGCCCCCTACTGGGGACCTGGCCCACAACCCAGGCATGTGTACTGACTGGGAATCGAGGTCTGCAGGCTGGCATTCAATCCACTGAGCCACACCAGCTAGGGCCAAGTCCTCTGCATTCTTATTAATTATCTTTGTTCTTTAATGATTATGAAGTGTTGAAATTTCCTACAAGTATTATAGAGCTCTCTATTTCTTCTTTTAGTTCTATTTTTGCCTCATAGTCAAGACCTCTGATGTTTGGTACATATATGTTTATAATTGATTTTATTAGTGAATGGACCCTTTTGTCACTGTACAGTGTCCTTCGTATCTTGTACTAGTTTGACAAAAATCTGTTTTGTTTTATATAAGTATAGCCACCCCTACTCTTGTTTGGATAGTTTGCACAGACTATATTGTTCTGTCCTGTTACTTTCTACCTATGCGTGTCCTTAGATTTAATGTGAGTCTCTTATAGACAGCATATATGGGATCATGTTGTCTTAATCCATTCTGCCATTCTATGTCTTTTCTAGGGGAATGTAATCCATGTTTTCTGTGTCTTACAGCATTTTTGTCCTCCTTTTCCTCCCTTACTGTTTTCCTTTGTGTTTACTTGAGGTTTTATATTGGTATTTTTTGATTCACCATTTTCTTTTGTGTATATTATTTAGGTATGTTCTTTGTGGTTACCAAAGAGTTTACATAAAACATCCTAAAGTTATAAAAATCTGTTTTAATAACTTAATTTCAGCTGTTTACAAAACTCTACTTTTTACACACACACCTCTTATGGTATTGATGTTAAAAAATCTTTATATTGTGCACTCATTAACATAGGATTTAAAAGCATAACACTTATAAATCTATTAACAGAAGTAAAAGGTAACTTATGAACCAAAAATACAATAATGCAGCCTGGTGGCTTGGTTGGAGCATTGTGCCATATACCAAAGGGAGTGCAAGTTTGCTTCTGGGTCAGAGCACATACCTAGGTTTGAGGGTTCAATCCCTGGTTGGGGGTGCATATGGGAGGCAACTGATCGATGTTTTTCTGTCACATTGATGTTTCTCTCCCTTTCCCCATCTCCCCTTCAAAATTCAGTTAAAAAAAAAAAAATTCTCAGGTGAGAATTTTTAAAAAAATATTTAAATATGATAATACAAGTTTTATATTTCTCCATATACTTGCCTGTAGCAGAGAACTTTTTATAGTTTTGGGTAAACATGTGTAGACTTTAGATTGGTGATGATCCTGAACTAGGAAAAGAATAAATTATAATTAGTTGGTGAAACTAGACATAATCTTGTTATAACATAAGCATGACAGGGTGAGAACAATGTTAACTGGCCCCCAGACAAGCTCAGGAAGTTCTCTTTGGACTCTTATTTCCTCATCTATAACATCATGACTCCCTTCCCTAATGAGTTTTTCAGTTACTGTCTAATGCCCTTTCATTTCAAATGAAAGGATAGGATTCCCATTAGCATTTCTTGTAGATCAAGTCTAATGGCAATGAACTACTTCAGGTTTTACCTTGGAGTGTTGTGTCTTAATTTCTGTCACATTTTGCAGGACAGTTTTGCTGTAAATATGCTCAGCTGACTATTTTGCTCTCATGCCAGTGCCTTCTGGACTACAAAGTTTGTATTGAGAAAACTGCTGGTAATCTTATTTAGGATCTCTTGTATGTGACAAGTTGATTTTCTCTTGATGTTTTCAAGATTCTGTCTTTGTATTTGACTTTGGACAGTTGCATAATGTGTTTTGATGTGGGACCTTTGGGATTTATCCCATTGAAGTTTTTTGAGTTTTTTGTATCACTATATCTATTTCCCCAATTTTGAAAGTTTCAGCCAGTATTTCTTCAGATTAGTTTCCTGCCCCCCCTATCTCTCTCTCTCTCTTCTCTGGGACTCACATAGTTCATACCTTGCTCCTCTTGATGATGTCCCATAAGCCCTGTTCACATTTCTTCATTCTTTTTTCCTCTTGAAAATTGGTCATTTTAAATGACATTACTTCAAGTTCACTGATTATTCCTCCTGTTCTAGTCTGCTGTTGAACTATTCCAGAGAAGTTTTCAATTCTGTTATTGTATTTTTCAGTTTCAGAATTTCTGTTTGATACTTTTTAGTAATTTTTGATTATTTGCTGATAACCTTGTTTTGTTCCTGTGTTTTCCTGATTTGTAGTTACCTGTCAGTATTCTCCTATAGCTCGTTGGACATATTTAAAATGTTCATTTCTAAAATCTTTTTCAAGTAAGTGCCTTATTTTTTTAAGGTTGGTTTTTGAAGATTTATTTTCTTCCTTTGAATGGGTTATGTTTCCTTGCTCTTTTTATGCCTCTTGTTTTTTTGTTGTTGAAAGTAAGCATTTGAAAAGACCATCACCTCTCTGTCTATATGGACTGGCTTTGTGTAGAGATAGACCCTTATTGGTCATTTTGACATGGAGACACAGGATCCTTTCAAGCACTGTCTGAGGTGGATCTTCCCAGGACTGTGTGTTCTGTTATTCCAATAACCCCAAGTATATAGCTACTTTTGAATATGATGATTTCCCTGAGTCCCACTCTTGCTTTTTTCCAGGGCCTTAGGTTTTCTGTTATAGTCCTATGCCTATAATTTCTTGTCTGTGGGTCTGCAAACTCCCTGTAGTCTGATGTCAAATCTGGTATCAAAACTATGTCACGTTCCCATCAGCGCTCCATCAGGCAAGACAGAAACAGTCCCATAGGCAGTTTCCTAACCAGCCAGATCACATAAGCAAGTTCTGTCCTTCTCTTTCCATCTGAGGGAGGAACCAGGAACGAGGAAGTCTCCTGCCGGCCTTAGTTGCCAACACTGTGCCTGCAAGGGTGAGGCAAGTGGAAAACCTAGGAATTTTTGGACAGTTTTTAATTCACAGATTTTTGGTTTTCTTGGTTGTTGCAGTTTCTTAACTGGTGTTTAAAGTTCTCAAAGTGATTTTTTTCCCATAGGTTGTTGGTTATTTGGTGTTCTATGTGGCAAAAGGACTGGAGCTTCCTACTCTGCCATCTTTCCTACAACACTTTCTCCTTTATCCCTTTGAGCATATATAAGACAGTTGTTTTAAAGTCTTTATCTGATTCTGTGATACCTGTTTCGTCACGAATAGTTGTTTCAGCCACTTAATTTTCTTCTTGTGAATAGACCATATTTTCCCATTTCTTTTATGCTCTTATTGTTGAAAATTGAGCATTTGAGCACTGGTTGGTGTGGCTCAGTGGACTCAGTGCTGGCTTGTGAACCAAAAGGTCACTAGTTCAATTTCCCAGCCAGGGCACATGCCTGGGTTGCGGTCTAGGTTCGGGTTAGGGGCATGCAAGAGGCAACCGATCAATGTATCTCTTGCACAAGAGAGGGAGCTATTTCTCTCCCTCTCTTTCTCCCTTCCTTCCCCTCTCTCTCTAAATAAATAAATAAATAATCTAAAAAAAGAAAAGGAAAAAAGTGAATGTAAATTACCTAGTACAGGATTGCTTTGGATTAAAAAACAAGAAAGGAAGGAAGGAAATCGAGCATTTGAGAAAACAGCTCCCTCTACCAGTCTTTGCTGATTGGCTCTTTTCTGGGGAAGCGTAATGTGCAGGGTGTGTTCTGAGCCCTGAGATCTGGCCAGAATTAGGGCTTAAGGTCTTCCCAGGTCATTTTCTCAGCTATTGACTTTCCTGGTTCTGTGTATGCCTGTTCAGTTTCCTCTCACACAGATGCTTTTAAATCTCTGTATCTTCCAACAAGTGCTACTTGAATTTTTCTTGGACTTAGATGTTCTAGTGTATTCCTTTACACATAATTTCTTTCTAGGCCTCTGCATGTCTATATTCCCTGTGTAGCTCCCATGAACAGTGTCTACTGCTACTTTCCATTCCTTTTTCCCATTTTGTCTGAGTCAGGCAAAGCGGAGACCAGATCCTCAAGACAGGTTAGAATATTGCAAAGAAAATCTGCCCTGCTCTATGCAGTTTGAGGTAGGGAATTGAGAGGTGAACTTCTGCATCCTTTAGACCATACCATGCCATAAGTAAAAATGGCAAGGCATTTAAAAGTAATTGTGTATGGAGGGGAATGGGAAAAAGCACTCACACACAGCCCCAGGGAAGACACATGCTTAGAAGACACTTGACAAGACCTTATCCCCTCCATCTGAGATGGTCCCCAAATTTCTTACCTTTTTAAATGTGGCTTTTTCACATCTGTATGCTCTCTTGTTGGCTGTAGATCTTCGACTGTTTTTCAGAACTCTCACATTTATTTTTGCTAGTCTCTAGTTTTTGTTGTTGTTGTTGTTGTTTTGTTTTTTAATGTTTCAGTGGTGGAACAAAGGTTTGGGGATTCCTAGCCTACATTCTTGCTGATGTCACTCTTTGTCCCTAATTCTTTCAGGAAGCAGGAATGAAAATGAGCTGGAGACTCTTCATGAAGCAGGAGTAAGGTGCCTTTCATTGGGAGAGCTTTCATGCTGGCAAATGAAGAGACATGTTGTGAGTAAATTAACGAAAAGTCAAGATTCCATGATACATATTGAAGAAAAGAGTTCACAGTTCCCCAAACAACCTAATTCCCCATATCAGGTGGGAACAGGAGTATCCATGCAGGCTTATGTGGAGGACAGTTGTATAATGAATCTTACTGAGAATCATTCTGATATTAATGAAAATCAAGGATTTCCAGCAAGGAGAGCTCAGAATTCTTGGAATAAAACATACTTGAACGAGACACAGAATTATCAGGGAAGTTGTAAGCAGGTGCCAGTGAAAAACAAGTTCTGTGTATTTGTCCCACATGCTGATGTCTTCAGTTGTAATTCCTATTCCCCTGATGATGATACAGTACACAAGAGAAATCATGCTCACAGCAACAAAGATTGTGGTGAGGACATCTCAAAGGTGTCCCCTCTTGTCCAGCTCAGTATATTCCACACAGGACAGAAAACCTATCAGTGTAATGAATGTGAAAAAGCATTCAGTGACAGCTCCAGTCTTGAGGTCCATCAGCAGGTACACTTGGGAAAGAAGCCCATTACATGTAGTACACATGAGGATAGCAGGTACAGCTCAACCATTCCTGTTCAACAGTACGTTCACGCAGGGAAAAAACGTTACTGGTGTCGTGAGTGTGGGAAGGGTTTTAGTCAAAGCTCAAACCTGCAAACTCATCAAAGAGTTCACACAGGGGAGAAACCCTATTCATGTCTAGAGTGTGGTAAGAGCTTTAATCAGACCTCTCACCTTTATGCTCACTTGCCTATTCACACAGGAGAGAAGCCTTATAGATGTGAAAGTTGTGGGAAGGGCTTCAGTCGTAGCACAGATCTGAACATTCACTGCAGAGTTCACACTGGAGAGAAACCTTACAAATGTGAGATCTGTGGAAAGGGCTTCACTCAGCGATCACACCTGCAGGCCCACGAGAGAATCCACACTGGAGAGAAACCATACAAATGTGCAGATTGTGGTAAACGCTTTAGTTGTAGTTCAAATCTCCATACCCATCAGAGAGTGCACACTGAAGAGAAACCGTACAAATGTGAGGAGTGTGGGAAGTGCTTCAGTTTAAGCTTTAATCTCCATAGTCATCAACGAGTCCACACAGGAGAGAAACCCTATAAATGTGAAGAATGTGGTAAGGGCTTTAGCTCAGCCTCAAGTTTCCAGAGCCATCAGAGGGTTCACACAGGAGAGAAACCATTTCGATGCAATGTGTGTGGCAAAGGCTTCAGTCAGAGTTCATATTTTCAGGCCCATCAGAGAGTCCACACTGGAGAAAAACCCTACAAATGTGAGGTGTGTGGGAAGCGCTTCAATTGGAGCTTGAATCTTCACAATCATCAAAGAGTCCACACAGGAGAGAAACCGTATAAATGTGAAGAGTGTGGGAAGGGTTTCAGTCAGGCCTCAAATCTTCAAGCTCATCAGAGTGTCCACACTGGGGAGAAGCCATTCAAATGTGATGCATGTCAGAAGCGATTCAGTCAGTCTTCACATCTTCAAGCGCATCAGAGAGTCCACACTGGAGAAAAACCATATAAATGTGATACCTGTGGTAAGGCCTTCAGCCAGAGGTCGAATCTTCAAGTCCATCAAATCATTCACACCGGGGAGAAACCATTTAAATGTGAGGAGTGTGGAAAAGAATTCAGTTGGAGTGCTGGGCTCAGTGCTCATCAGAGGGTTCACACAGGAGAGAAACCCTATATGTGTCAGCAGTGCGGGAAGGGCTTCAGTCAGGCCTCACATTTTCACACACATCAGAGGGTCCACACGGGAGAGAGACCTTACATATGTAACATATGTTGCAAGGGCTTCAGCCAGAGATCACATCTTGTATATCATCAGAGAATCCACGCTGGGGGGAATCTATAGTAGTGCGTGTGAGAGCCTTTGGTTAGAGGTCACATCTCTGTCCATTAGAAGGTGTCTGCTCGTAGCTGTGGAAGGCTCCTTCAGAACTCGGGAGCTTTGAGGAATTGTTACAGGAAAGCAGCTGTATGAAATGTGCTTTAAGAACTCGGGAGATGAATTCTTTGTAAACATCAGATTTCACACATAATAGAAGAGTGGTTTTTTAAATGTGGTAAGCAGTTAAAGTAGAGTTTTGAATGTCCCAGTTCTAAAGATGAACACAACAGAAGAATCTTAAATTTCATTGGAGTCTACCGAGAAGAGGGGCTTACAATGAAGGTTATGTACAGGACTCTATAAAAAAAGTATAATGATGGACCGATGAAAGTGATATCACCTACAACATAACCTCCACATAGATGGGGTGTTTTTCATCACTCTTTCTGCCTTGTAGAACTGCTTGGCTTGTAATAGGTGACCAGCAATTACTGAACAAAGTGAAGAAATATTTGAAATTTCTAGTCAGTTCTCTACCTTAAATTCATCACAGCATACTCAAAAAGAATGATATGATGCTGCCATCCACAATAATACATACTAATTTCAACAAGACTTCTGAATGGCTCCTATTCCCCATTCGGCTTCATTGTTTTGTACAGTGTATTATCTGTGCACACAGTATACTATTTAATCATTAGTTTGTATTTTTAGGTTGAAAAGTCCTTTTTCATCTAATAGTGAATTTATGAGAATGGAAATTTTGAACCCTAATTCATTAAGGTACAATTTTACTGTAACACTAATGACATAAAATTTTAGTAAACTTGAATTGTTAATAATTGGTTTCTTATTATTTTCACACAAGCCAAGGTCAAAGTGCCTTCTCTACACACAGTACTTCCTCCACTTAGACCATTTAGGCAGGGGCTTTGCAGACTTCAAGGACATGAATTGTGTCACATTCCACCCTCATTCTTCCTGCTAAAATAAGGAGGAGGGAAGCAGGACAAGAAAGGTTTTTAATTGAAATTTCATTAAATGTAACTATTTAGGTAGTCATTTTCACAGCATTCTGTGTTCAGCACCTCTTGGTAGAAGTGAACATTAGCTGGTCAATGTGTATAAAAACACCTTTTGATCTAGCAGTCCTAAATTAGGGGATTGTAGAAAAAGTGAGACAGAGCATACATAAAGATGTTTATATTGAATTTAAGAAAAGCAAGGAAGTATCTGAAAAATATTTGAGTAAATGTGTTCAAATAATATACAGCCATGAAAATGATTTTATGGAGAATGATGGTGGCCTGAAAAGACCTCCAGGTCTCCATTTAATGTTGCAACATGTTGGAGCGCTATATAATGCAGCAAAGGATTCCCTGCTCAAACATAAACACGTCTGAGAGAGGAGCACGTTGAGATAGGACATATCTGAGCAGACAGTGGAGATGGTGGGGACGGGACAAAGGCTAGGGACAATCTGTGCCTAGTCTAGCACTTGTCTCCCTCCTCCCCCCACCCCAGTGGACACCATGGCATTCAAGGATTGGAGTAGAAGCCCCACTAGGAAAACCACAGATGGAGAGACCAAGAATCAGACCTGGGTGTCCAGTACACATTGCAGCAGGGCCCAAGGTCAAGGTCAGGAAAGCAGTGCAGAGGGTTGCAGCATTCCACAGCCCGCCAGCACCAGACAAGGATTTTGCAGACTTGGGAACTAACCCACCCCATCATTGCATTCTGGCTTACTGGGTACAGAGTGCTGCAAACAACATCCCCTCGAAGTAGGCTATACCCATTGTGGCTAAATCCCCTAGGATGACAGAGGTGTGGATGTGTGATCCCACTTCCCAAGCCAACCCCTCCCCCACCCATCAAGGTGCAGAGTGGTAGAGGCAGCCAGGTCAACTCAAGAGCGGCTGTGCCAGGGGCTTTTTGCTTCCAGGAAGGTGGTGCTGGGAACAAACAGGAGACCCATAGCCTGCTGCTTCAACCCACAGGAGTGGTGCCCTGAGACTGAGGTAACTGAGTTGCAAAGGGGACATCCACTTCCTCAGGGAATGTGGGGTGTGTTCCCACAGAGATCCCGGAAGCCCCAGCTGTGCAAATGAGAAAAGTCTGTGTTTCAGCACCACCTACCAGGAAGCAAAGACTTCTGCATATCAACCTGCTATACAGTGAAGTGTCAAATACATAAAAAAATTTTCATTCCCACAACTGTCCAGGCAGAAAAGTAACTCAAGCACAATAAATAACCAAAGTAACGAAACAAAATGAAAGAAAATTTAAAATCTCTATAAAATAAGGGGAAGTATGTGATTTAAATGGCAGAGAATTCAAGATTTCAGTTATGAAAACACTCAACAGGGTATAAGAGAAAGTTCAATTAACTCAGAAATAAAAATAAACAAAAGGCAGGTACTTCGCCAAAGAGACTGAAAGTATTAAAAAAAATCACCACCAAATTCTAGCACTGAAGAACTCAATAAAGAGATGAAGAACAAACTAGCAAGCTTAGAAGATAGAGACCACCAGGCCCTGGCTGGGTAGCTTAGTTGCTTACAGCATCGCCTTGATACACCAAGCTTGCGGTTTCAGTCCCCAGTAGGGCATGTACAAGAATCAACCAGTGAATGCAAAAATTAGTGAAACAACAAATCAATGTTTCTCTGGCATTGATATTTCTGTCCCTCCCATCCCTGCTCTCTAAAAATAAATAAATAAATAAATAAAAATTTTTTTAACGGAAAAGTGGCGACAGAGCTACCAGAAAATCAGATAAAATGGCTACAACAGCCCTGACCAATGTGGCTCAGTGGGTTGGGTGTAATTTTGTAAAGCAGAAGGTCACTGATTTGATTTCCGGTCAGGGCACATACCTGGGTTGGTGGTATGGGGTGCATGCAAGAAACTACTGACTGATGTTTCTCTCCCTCTCTTTCTTCCTCCCTTCCCCTCTCTCTAAAAATAAAATCTTTAAAAAAAATGGCTACCGGAGAGCTTCATATATTAATAACATCCTAAATGTAAGTGGACTGAACTCACCAATTTAAAAGGTTCAGTACAGTGGGATGGATCAAAAAAGAACTATACACAGCATTCAGGAGTCACATCTCAGCTGCAGTGACATAGATTCAGTGACAGAGTGGAAAATGATACTACAAAGAATCTAGACAAAAGCAAGTGTAGCCATACTTCTATCAGACAAAACAGATTTCAAGATAAAAACAGTAACAAGAGGTGGACATTTTATAATGATAGATACATGGGACAATACACCCTGGCTGGTGTGTCCCAGTTGGTTGGAGCATCCTTCCGTGAACTGAAGGGCCGTGGGTTCAATTCCCGGTCAGGGCACATGCCAAGGTAGTGGGTTCAGTTTCTGGTTAGGGTATGTATGGGAGGCAACTGATCGATGTTTCTCTCTCCCTTCCTCTCTGTCTCTGGAATCAATGACTATATCCTTGGTTAAGGCTTAAAGATAAAAAATAAATAGAACAATACATTAAAAAGACACATGACTTATTAATGTAATATATTCACCCAACTGTGGGCACCAAAATATATAAAGTAACTACTAACAGAACTAAGGGGAGAAACTGAGCAAAACAATAAATGGTGCCATGAAAGTTGGAAAATTACATGTAAAAGAATGAAACTAGAATGCTGACACCACCACAAAAATTTAAATGGGCCAAAGACCTAAATATAAGGCATGAAAACTTACAGACCTTGGCCTTAGAGAGGATTTTATGAATTTAACCCCAAAGGCAAGGGAAGTAAAAACAAATACAAATGAATGGTACTATATCAAACTAAAAGGCTTCAGAACAGAAAAAGAAACCAACATAACAAAGGCAACTAACTGAATGGCATAAGATTATTTGCAAACAATGCTTCCAATAATGGTCTAATATCCAAAATATATAGAGAATTCATACAATAACAACAAAAAAGTCCCATAAAAAATGGGCAGAGGACCTGAACAGACAATTCTCCCAAGGTCAACAGGTATATGAAAAGATGTTCAACTTCACTATTAGGGAAATGCAAGTCAAAACCACAATGAGCTACCACCTCACACCTGTTAGTATGGCTGTTATCAATAAGAAAAAGAATAAGCGTTGGAGAGATTTTGGATAAAAACGAATCCTCTCACACTGTTGGTGGGAATGAAAACTGGTACAGCCACTACAGAAAAACAGTATGGAGGTTCCTCAAAAAATTAAGAATGGAGTTACCATTTGACTCAGCAATCCTTCATTTGGGTACCTACCAGGAAAATTTGAAAACACTTATTTGGAAAGATGTATTGCCACTATGTTCACCGCAGCATTATTAGCAGTGGCCAATACACGGAAATAACCTCAGCATCCTCTAATGGATGAATGGATGAAAATGTGGTGCATATATACAGTGGAATACTACTCAACCACAAGGATAAAATATTGCCATTTGTAATAACATGGATGAATCTTGAGAGTATCATGCCAAGTGGAATAAGTTAGATAGAAAAGGACAAGAACCATATGATTTCACTCATGGAGTATAAAACACAGCAACAAATGATCAAAGAAAAAGACCTCACTGACAGCAGTATGGTGGAACCAGAGGGGAAGGGGTATTGGGGTAGGCTGAAGAAGGTAAAGGGGGCCAAATATATGATGACAGAAGGAGAGTACACTTGGGGGGAAGCACACAACGCAATGTACAGATGAGGTATTATTATACATTTGAAACATTATTAGCCAATGTCAACCCCAATAAGTTTAATTTTTAAAAAATGATATAAAATCTAGCCCCGGCTGGTGTGGCTCAGTGGATTGTGTGCCAGCCTGCAAACCAAAGGGTCACTGGTTCGATTCCCAGTCAGGCACATGCCTGGGTTGCAGGCCAAGTCTCCAGTAGGGGGCGTGCTAGAGGCAACCATACATTGATTTTTCTCCCTCTCCCTTCCCCTCTGTCTAAAAATAAATAAAAATTTTAAAAAATGATATAAATCTAGAATGATGTGTCACTCATGAAAAAACTAGGTTAGCACCTTCCTGTTATGATCCAAGTAATAAAAGTATGTGCACCTAAAGATATGATAACATGTGGGAGGATATTGATTAATACGCTACCTAGTTTATTCAATGAGGGTTCCAATGATATTTAACTTTCTCAAAAATCATTTACAGTTACCATTATTATTACCAAAGCAATCAAATTACTGAATGAATGAAAATCCCTTATAGCTAAATCTTTATCTCATATGGCATATATGCCTGTATTACAGAATATCAAGTTGGCCAAAAAGTCTGTAATGTTTTTTTCCATAAAATAAAAGACACATTTTTCATTTTCACCAATAAATATTGATTTGGATATTTTGAGTATGTCAGCTATCTCCCACTCTTGACTTCTCTAGTGGGCAGAAGCCAGGGGTGCTGCTGAACATCTTCCAATACATAAGACAGTCCCACCACAAAGAGTTATTTGGCCAAAATGTCAATAGTACCAAGAAACTTCGCAAACACTTGACACGTTCAATCAGTCACAGCACCTTCTCCATACACTGCACATATCTTTCTTTGCATTTCAGTTGTGTTTTTACCTTTATTGAAATAATAAAGCACAATATGCTGAAAATGTTGCATATCTTCTTCCATCTTCAATATTAAATATGAAAATGGCTGCACAAAAATTCACCAATTTTGATGTTTTTAAAAAATTCTTGCTGCTATGATAGCTGTCACAATATAATCTGACAAAATTATTTTGAATGAGGTTAAAGACAACTAAGCACTACTAGAGCCATCGTACAGAAAAAAATGAAACAGACTTTTTGGCCAACCCAATACATGAAAGGATGCTCATTGTGGCCACTTTTGGTAATAGTGCAGTTTGCCTTCATTTGGTTTGACAAAATAATTTATGTCTTATCCATTCAGTAGAATAGTATGAAAATTAAGTGAGGAAAGTTCGTAGTGCTGACATCCACAGATACCCAGAATATGCCTAGAATGTGGGCAGAGGGGACTTCCAGTCAAAATGGTAAAGTAGGTAAATGCTGTGCTCACCTCCCATGACCGCATCAAACAAAATTACAAATTATAAACAGTCACCCTTGAGGACTACCTGTTGAGCAGCTGAACAAAAGTCCTACAACTAAGGCCAAAAAAGAAGCCAAAATGAAACCGGTAGCAGTGGCAGAGAAGTGGAATGGGCAGGTCCCACACACATGGTTTCACAGTTAAGAAATGGGAGGAATATCCCAGCTGCAGAGGACCTCTGAGGGGAGAAGCATCCCAGCCCCATAGGCTAGGAGCCCAAGGCTCCAGTGCTGGGAAGAGGAGTCCACGTAACATCTAGCTCTGAAACCCAGTGGGGACTGCATCTGGTGAGATGGAGGG